CTGGGGGGGGGGGGGGGGGGGTAGCATATATATATATACACACATATACCTTCCTCCTTTTTTTCTTTGGGGGGGGGGGGGGGGGGTGGGGTCCCCTAAGGGTCCATGTACCTTATCATGATATACTTGGGCTAAAAAGGCCCCACATAGGAGGTACTTGAAGGCCAAACTAATATTCAGGTACATGGACCCTGAGGGCTCAAGTGTGTATGGGCAAGGCTCGAAAAAAAAAACATTGCGGCTTGACAAATAACACGTCTGGCAAACTCGAAAGAACATTGAAGTGTCGTTGCCACACCGTAAACCCCAAACCCCAAACCCCCAAACCCTCAACTCTATGTCTACCTTCCCCATTCCTTGAAGCTCATCAGTTTCTTCCTATTTTGGTAGCATTTATGGTTGGCACAGGTGTGTTAGGATGCAACTCAAAGCGCAAGTGAGCGCAAGGCAACGGCATTTGTCTTTTGCTTCTCAGCGCAGCATTTCCCCTTGAGACGCATCCGGAAGCCTTTCGCAAGCACTGGATCTCCAAGTTGGCTTCACTTCATGTCTGAAGGGTTGCAGACAGCCTATCTAAAGTGACAGGGCAGTCTACTGCTTGCGCTGTTTTTTACGGGCAGGCTCTGCCTGCTCGAACCCCCGCCTCTCCTCTGGAGAGAGCCCCTGAAACCACTCTTGGGACCAGGCTCTGAGGCAGTTCATTGCCTGCTCTTTTGTCCGGTTGGCCGTGAGGCCACGTGCCGGCCCATCCGGATCAAAGTACGAAACGCATCTACTCTTCTTGGAGCGGTGCTTGTACCCTGCAGGCAAGTAACACTGAACAAACGGACTTGCGCCCTTTGGGAAGCCGAAGTACGTGACACAACCTGGAGCGACATCGCCCTCTGGAATTCCGCGAGGAACAGGCGAGGCATGTGGGCCATCAACACGTGCCTGGTCCAAGCGTACAAGACTAGACCTTCTTGTTATCTACTTCAGTTCACAAACCGTTTCTTTAGGGTTTCGGGTTTAGGGTTTAGAGTGTCTATCGGCTACATAGATGAAAATGACATCATGAAACATCAGACTTACGCATGGTTCTGACAGCTGAGAGTCATGGGCGCCATCCTTTGCCGGCGCTGCTGCGGCCTCGGCATCGCCCATGTCAACATCCTGTTGGACGCCTGGCTCGGGTTCTTCTGTTGCGGGGTCGGGAAGGCCATCTTCTTCGGGATTGTCGGCCATGTCTTCCATAACCTCGTGCTCCTCCTCCTCGTCTGTCTGGCCCTCTAAGTGCTCGTCTTCATCACACTTGTCGGCATCCTGTGCTAGAGGCGTGAGAACTGACTGACTGCAACATAGGCGCTACATAACATATGACTGCGTTTGGCATCAAGTCCCCTATATCCCTTCTAGAACACAAACATTCTATTCCCATAGCCCCACACAACTCCGACCAAAGCACCTCGTCGTGGTGAGACTTTTTCTTCCTCTGATCTGGAAGTTCATCCAACGTGGCGTTGATATCTTGCTCGGATTTACCCATGTGCCGCAAGAAACACTTCACACGCTCTTTGTAGTCCATGCGGCTGTGTTTGAGGCCCAGGGCGCTGCAAACCTTTGAGAGCAATGTTCGGGGTAGCCATAGCAAGGACTCATCCGCAATGTACTGCGCCAAGGACATCCAGCCGGATGTTTGCTTCCATCCAAGCTGGTCGTGGGCCAGGCAGGGCTCTGCGGCGGCTATCAGGACGTCATTGAGGCCGCCCACGATTTTCTGGCCACGGGGTACACTCATGTCCTTGAATGTGAACACGTCGGCCTCAAACAAGATCAGAGGTAGGACACGAAGAGCGTGAGGGCCAGCTCCCAGCACCAAGGTCCTTGTTGAAGTCTCCGCCCCTTGGTCCCATGAGATGAAGTAGTGCTCGGGCACGACCCTTGAAACCCACATCCCATTGTAGACTGCAAGAAGTACCTCAGTTCGATCACTCTGCGTGTCCAACTCCGGTCGCAGCTCCGTCCTGTAGGTGTGGCCCAGTGTTCGCAGCAGCTCCAGCCGCTGCGCCATGATGTGCGGCTTGGTGTAGTTCTTGGAGGACTTGTGCTTCGTGAGGCCTTCAGCACATACTCCAAGCTCTGCATCAGTGGCCTTCAGGCTGCTGTGCACTCGCGATTTCACGTACTTCTGAGATAAAGAGCTTTGCCAGTCCTGCGAATCCAAGGTGAGGGCCTCCCCGCCGGAGGTGCGAGAGATGGAGCTTTTGCCCAGACCCCTGGGAGGATCCAAAAAATAGAACCCCCAAATGGTACCCTATACTACTATTGGGTCATTCTTAGGAACCCTTAAGGGGATCCATTTTTTGGATCCTCCCAGGGGTCTGGGTGTGGGCCACGGCGTGTATATTGTGAGGGCAGGTTTTTTCGGCCTTTGCATGTCGTCGCCCCGAGTCGCGTAGATCGTTGAAGCAGAGCTCGCTTGGCAAAGAAGAGAGCATAGAGTCCGTGGCCTCGCCTGTCATGCCCGCCACAATGCGACATATCTCTGTGAAGTCCCTGCCCACAGGCGTCTCCATCGCTTCGGCATCGAAGTTCATCGACCTGGCGAGGTTCATAAGAAATTAAAAACACAAATTCAGCGAGTTCATTTCAGGTGCGGTATGGCAGCAAGCCAGCCCGACAATAATTCTTGTCATATGTCAGGACCCGATTCCCCCCAAAAAACAGAGCCCATGAACAGAAGTGCCAGTGCTAAGTAGGGGCTCAGCTTTGGTCATGACATCACGGTAGGCTTGGAATCGTGTGAAGCCGAATGCCGTGTGAAGCGTGTGGCTTTCAGGAAGTCGATCCACAACCTCGGTCACCAGCTGCCACTCCGCCTGCATGTCGGCGAGTGTCTGGGCTTTAGTTTGCGTGCTCAAGCAAGCCACAGCCCGCCAGGGAAAGCTTCTGTGAACAGCATCCAGTTCTTGCAGTGTGTCCAGCAAAAACAAGAACAGCGAAGCCAGCCATTCCAGAGACTCTTGGTCCTCCATTGCGCCCGCGTAGCGTAGGCCACTCCCTTTGGCCGCATTCTGGAAGGTTCGCCTTTGGAAAGTCTGCTGCCCATTCGATGTGGACTTGTATACATTACCAGAATCTAAGTGACTTCATGGTTCCAAGTCTTTGCTAAGTATTTGCGGGCAAGTGGCATCACCAGCTTTTCCACACGCTTGCCCGTAGCCAAGGACATTGCGTGGCGGACGGAGGCCGATCCGTTCTGCTGGAAATCTTTGGCCTGAAGCAGGCTTGGGAGAGAAGTGTGTGCGAGAGAGAAGACAAGAGAGTACATATGCAAATCATAATATGTCTTGGTATGTAGTGTGCAGCTTAGAGGCACACTCAGCCACGTAGATTCGCAAGGCTTTGAAAACCACGATGAAGGCCCTCATTTTATCTTGGTTTGTGTCATCGGCCAAAACCTGAGCCACTGGTTTTTTAGGACCGTGTGCATCACGAGTGTGCTATTGCTACTTTTGCGAGAGCAAGCCAAACAGGGGCCCACACGTGCCACGCAGACACTCGAGACGAGAAAGAGTCCTCCGAGGCATCACTGCCGCGGTGAAGCGACCAAGGGTTCTTGCCCTCTGTGAACCACGCGAAGCAATGAGCCATAGCATCAGTGTGCCAGCAAGCATCCAATGCCACAGCGTGGTCGTAAAACGAAAACCAACGAACATCCTTCGGCGTATCAGCCCGGAGGTGAATGACGCCTGAATGAAGCATCGTTTGCAAGCTACATCGTTTCTATGGACAGGGTCTGTGCGTGAGCTCCTGCCTCGTCGCTTCTTGAGGATGGCAAGGAGGTCTTGGGCAGTAAAGTCTGTCAGGCCAGCTTCGCAGTTTGCCCAACCAGCCACGTCCTTGGCGATGCCTGCCAACCACGTCTGCACAAAGCCGTTCTCGGGATCTTCAGACAACACGTCTGCTAGACGATCCCGGGAGTCAGCAATGATCCTGCCGAAGCGGGAGCTCTTGAAAGGTCCCCGAGAAAACCGATGCAAAGCCATGAGCCGACGAAGAAAGCCCAGCCCCTCATTCAGCCGGCGTATAGCGCCTGAAGCCTTTCTGGCCGCCTTGTGAAACAAATCCGGCCACATCAGCGCCCACAGCTGCTGCACGCAAAGGTGTTGAAAGCCGACAAAGCCCTGCAACAGCAAGTCTGAGTGCAAAACCTTTAAACCCTCAGCCTAAACCCCAAGCTGAAAGAAGACATAGACACAAATAGGTCCCGGCACGCCTCAGTGCCCTCATCCGCTGAAAAGACAAGTCGAGTAAAGTTCTCGTTGAGGTAGTGATCTGCACGTGCTTCTTTGGACTCAGGATCCCACACAAAATGCAATCTCGCGTGCTCCGGCGGAGGTGGCACCATCAAGGCAGTCTCCGACGCGTCATAGAGCAGGCGGGCGCATCCGGAGGTAGCGGGCATCAACGGGTTTGGAGGTCTGCAGCAAGCCAAGCTCCAGCCAAGCGGCATGGCCTGCTGGAGGCTGTTAGCCAAGCCACAAAGTAGGTACTTGGTCGGCTGCCGGAATTCCTTGAACTTCCATGCCTCCTTGGGGATGTCTACCTTGTACTCTGCATTCAGAGGCAGCTCCCCAGCCACGACTTCAGACAATGCGGTGGCAGCTTGGACAGCTTCAGTCTTTGTGCAGACATTGGCCTGAAGTAGCTGTGTGGCCCCAGAGAAATGTCGGCCACCCAACCGAAAGATCACAGAGAGGACCTGGCCAGAGGATACAGCTTCAAGTTGATAGCACTCTGCCTGTTAGCTGCTTAGTCTGTGGAGCTAAAATCACTTGCAATCCCTGCCAGAGCCCAACGAACCCCACATGAATCTGGGGACTGCCAAACAAAGCCGAAGCCTGAAGCCTTGAATTGCTCCAGCCTGCTCGCCAGCGAACGTAGCAGCGTCGAAGCAAAAGTTGAGACATTGCATAGGCTGCTTCCCCACGACTGCGGAGACTGTCTGCTCCACCTTGATGAGCAGGCGTGCTGTGTATTCAGACGCAGTCCGGGCAGCAAGTGTAGATTTCTCTTTGACCACTCCCAGCTGGCCCAAATTCTTTTCGTCCTTCAAGGTCACGTACCCGGCACCCCTGCAAAGGAAGCGATTCACCATATTCATGCGCAGGGCTTTGTTCCCTTTACGTCGCGAGCCAGACATGTAAGGGTGATACTTCTGAAGAAGAGTGGGGTCCGGGCACGTATCCGTGCAGGCCGTCTCCAGAGCGAGCTCGGCTTCTTGCGCAAAGCAGTGCGTCAGTCGCTTTGTCAAGCGACGAAACCCAAGGCAACTCCAGAAGTCTCTATCACTCTTCATGCGATAGCACGTAGTGAGCAGGATGCTGAGTGGCAACATATTGCTGATGTTGTTGGCAGTCATCTTCTTTGCAAACCTTGCAAAGAAGATGAGAATTCATGTACGTTCATGTCATGATGTGTTGCGTTGGCTGACAGAGTGAACAGCACCCTGAGATCCGGAACCCGCCTGGACCAGCTAAGGCCGAGCTCGTGCAGAATCGCTTTGATTCGCGGCAGAGGCAACAAATTGTCCTGCACCTGCACCTGAAAAGCCTGTGCGTGCGGCAGTAGCTGGAGAGCACAATTGACATTCATATGCTCCTCCAAAGCTTGCAGCACGGCCACACACTCTTGCACCCCTTCCTGACTGAAGGTAGACGTGGGGAGCAAGGTTGCTTCAAGCACAAGTACCCCCATGACTGTGCAAGCGTCGATTGGGAGATTTGTGATCTCTTGCACACTGCCTTTGTAGGTTGGCCGCCGGGCCACCTGAGCGGAACCCGAGCAAGCTTAGACCAACATTACAGTATCATCGTAAGAAACTGAGAATGACACATGGCCAGTAGACAGCTCGAAGGTGTGAGCCAAAGGCAGGAAAACACCGGAATAGTTCTTGGTGAAGTATTGGGAGAACGGCGTCCTGAAATGGTACCATTCCGGTATTGAAATGAAGTGCTTGTACCCATCAACTGCTGCGTCGTCGTCCACCTCACAGAAGAAACCCTCCCCTTGCCCCCCCCCCCCCCCTGCCCCATAAGAAGAAGCAATGATATATATATATATATATATCGCCAGCAGCACCAATTGCAAAAAAACAACCATGAACACCCTGTGTATACCCTGTCTGCCTGGAGCACCGTCCACACCCCCTTGCGGTTTTGCAAGAAGCGAAAGCTGTGCTGTGGACAGCAGCGATCAGAGCCAGGGGATCCAGGCACAGGCTCAGTGGGCTTTTCGTTTGCCACTGCGACTGGGACAGACTCTTTGGGGGCCACAGGTTCGGGAGCAAAAGGCATCTCAGACCCATACATGTCAACCAACTGGCGCATTGCAGCTTCATGTTGCTTCTGCGTATCAGAGCATTGCTGTCGCGAACCAGAAAACTTGTCAGGCGTAAGCTGCAGCCGTCTTGCCGCAATGGACTTGCGAACTTCCAACAAAGCCTTGTCTCTCTGGCCAGGTTCCTGCTCATCGCCTTCCAGCGGCACCTTCTGGAGCAGCTTCTGCACGGATGCGAGCCAGACCTGCCCGGCGCGCAGTGATTTTGCAAATCGAGACATGCTGGCTCTAGAACAAGGGACAAGCTGGAGAGAACGTTGTCTCGTGAGAGAACGATTGGTGTCAGCTATCCGTACCGTGACTACCCAACCTCGGCATCCTCCACTCCACTGTCGGTTTCCATTCCCATGCCCAAGGGCCCCCGGATTCCCCTCCGGCAGGCTCCAATGGCACAGGTTCCGAAAAAGGAGGCCAGTAGGTTGAGTTGGAATTTTAGACACGTCTCGGGCGATTTGCTTACGTTGACCATTCTCTTTGGGATCCTTCTGGGCATGTTTTGGGCATTTTTAGGGGTGAAGGGGCACGACAGGGCCTAGTAGGTTCTGCGAGTAGAGAAGGGTGTCTGATTGTGAGAACGTTTCCGGCTGAAGAGAACGTTGGTGTCTGAAGAGAACGTTGCGTCCCCTGAGAACGTTCAGGGCCTGAACCGGACAGCAGCCTCAGTCACGCAGGCAGCCATTTCAACTACGAGCTGGTGCCACAAGAAAGGCAAGCAGAGGCGTGCTGCAACTAAGAAGAGCAGAAGCCATGTCTTTTCAGCCAAGCATAGTCGACAGTCTAGTCCATAGAATGCAAATCTACAGAGACGGGGTATATCAACTGGACAGCTTCGCGACATTGCTGTTCGTAATTTGCTAAGAGGACATACGGGCCCTCCCTGTCCAACAAAATGAGCCACAGCTCTTCGTTTCTGTGAAAGCGCTCCCCCAGAGGCGCTCCAGAGATCCACACAAGCATGTCCTTCTTTTGCGGGTCGTCACGCAGCCACTCCTGACCCTGTTCGAGGACGAAAACCTTCATCCAGCAACCCGAAAAAAGCCAAGGCAGAACCACACATGTAGCGTCCACAGGGGCCATGTCGTTGGGCAGGCCTAACAGTCAAGTGGATCTAAGGCCCCAAGACTACAGACTACAGGACAAAAGACTGCAGCAAGGTGTTGCAAGTCAACAACGCTATTCCAATAGACCGTGCAACAGCAACACAAGGCCCAAAAAAGACTGCCTTGCAGGCAGCGACACCAACATTTCTCGCGGGCAGGCTAACACTGTTTGCGTGAGGCCGACATGCTACCAGGAATACGGGTATGCTGGACTACTCATCGTCGTCCTCCTCGTCAGAGTCGGGCAAAGCAAGATTCGATCTGCTGCTGCCTTCTCTGTTGGCAGGACTTCGAGACCGAACAGGGCTTGCAGAGGCGGGCCGCGGCGTTGCTGCATTCTTCTCCTTTGGGTCTTCCTTGTCCGAGAAGAGGGCTCGGGCGTAATGCTTGCCGGCACGGTGTAAGTAAGAATCCTGCGTTGCGACACACTTTCCCAAAGAAAGACGCGCAAAGACAGTAGAGGAGAGCCAGAGAGAGAGAGAGAGAGAGAGAGAGAGAGAGAGAGAGAGAGAGAGAGAGAGAGAGAGAGAGAGAGAGAGAGAGAGAGAGAGAGAGAGAGAGAGACAGAGAGAGAGAAAACTGGCCCAGATATTTGCAGGTGCGGGGCCAGTTCTGCGTTCACACACTTCAGGAAGCGCTTCAAACTCTGTCGCCCCATCCAGGTCATGGTCTGAACGATCTGGGCTGCTTTGCCTCCCAGGGCATCCACATTCCATCCATCACGAAGGGCAAGGGGCCTTGCTAGCTTTGCCCGAACGAGACGATGGTTTCGTGGCAGTCTTCTTGTTGGCCGGCGTGCGAAAATCAGCATCTGACTCAGATTCTTCTTCTCCCGAGATCTCCTTTGCAACGTCTCGAGTAGACTTCCTGCGGATGAGCCCACCCTTGTTCGATTCCCTCTCTGCTTTCAGGTCATTGGCGGCCTCATTCTGGTAGTCTGCGAGTTTCTTCGCCACATCTGCGTTCCAAGTCTGCTGGTCCTCCTGTGACTTCCCCTCCACGTGCTTGACTTCGGCTTCGAGGGTCCTGCGAGAGGATTAAAGACAGAACCATGAGACTTAAAACGGATAAGTTAGAAACCAGAAATTTCCCTGTTGTCCTGCGCAAGCTTGTGACAGACTTGTGCTGGGAGACCACCGTCATGCGGTCCATGTCAGTGACTGCAAAGGCGAATATAGTTGCAGAAAACTTACAGACACAACATTGACACTTGGGCTTCTGTCTCAGTGACTCATGACGAGCTGGGAGCATACCCTCATGTGCAACAGGGGCCTGCGTGCACCAGCGAAAGAAGGCGCTCCTTCCAGTCCGACTCGGCTGTTGCCTCGTTCTGTGTCAAGGCGACTTTCAGCTTCAAGGCGTCGGGCGTGTTGTCCAGAGGGCACTGTTGTTTTGCTCGCCTGCGAACCTGGCCCGGACATGACTCGGTCCAGCGTCTCTTAAGATGAAGTAGGTAAAAAACAAGAAAACACAGCGTGGCATTGCGGCTCAACATGACATGAGAAGAGTCCAAGTTCGCCTCCAACAGATTCCCACCCATCTTCATGAGAGCATTCTCTGTCAAAGATGGGATCAGTCGAGCGAGTGCCGTGGCCAGAACAGCTGGCGACAGGTCTGAGAGCTTGGAGACACGGCCACTGAATTTCAGGGCCTGAGGCTTCCTCAGCTATAGTCACCCAGGATTTGTTTGCTCGGCTGGGTTGTGTCAGCTTTTGGGAGGGGTGAAAATTAAGAGAGACAAGACTCAGCCCAAAAGCAGCAGCAGATGCCTTCAGCTCTCCAGCTAACGAACACGCCGTAGATTCAGAGGAGGAGGAAGACCGTTTGCGTTTGACCTTCTTATCCTTGACCTTACGGCTCCTCTCACGATCCTTCGTCTTCGTGCTCTTACCCATGGCTAACCCTTGGACAAAACTTGAGGCAGCTACTACCCTAGCACGCCCGCGGCATCCCTGGGGGAGAGACAGAAGACAAAAATCAATTGTCATGTCTGTCACTGAGCACAGGCAGGCAAGGCGCAAGCTTGAGGAGCTTTTTCACAATTGCGTGGGAGCAAGCGACAGAGTTGATAAGAAGACGTATGCGTTTGCAGCCGCTGCAAAACTGCTGAGTCCCCAGACACACAAGACCAGGAAAAACTATTAGGGCGATGTCTCTTTAGTCTATACAGGGTTCTTGTCACACACGAAAACCGTACACGTAAGGCCTGGGACTCTGCATCTCAAGAGCTGCACTGCAAGGTGTGGCCTCCCATGCGACCAAGAGCGACCTGCACCAGGCCAGGCGCCTGCTTCAGCGGCTCTCGTCCTGCGGCGAGCTGAAACCTACATTCCCTAGCCAGAAACCCTAAACCTTAAACCCTAAACCCCAAACCCCAAACCCTAAGTATTAAACCCTAAACCCTATATAAACCCTAAACCCTAAACCCTAAACCCTAAACCCTAAACCCTAAACCCTAAACCCTAAACCCTAAACCCTAAACCCTAAACCCTAAACTTAAACCCTAAACCCTAAACCCTAAACCCTAAACCCTAAACAGCAGCCTACAGCGAAAGGACGGCTGTAAACAGTCTCGCGACTGCTGCAAGGACCCTCCCGGAATGTCCTCGGAGCTCACGTACGGGGCTGCGACAGGTCCCGCAGCATCTCCTGCGATATGGTAGAATTTAGGAGTGAGCGTGGCTTCTTCTCACTCAGAAGACTGGCAGCATGGAAGCAGATCAGTGGATGAGTTGTCATATCAGATATGACAATTGTTGCTGTGTGCGCCCAGAGTAACATGCGTGTGTGAGCTTGAATGCAATGCTACCGACACTGCTGCGTAGAGGCAGTAGAGTGGCATGTGGTCAAGGATAGCCGTGCCGGAGAGGAGCTGTCTGTTGGGAATTTAAGATTCTCTTGGCTGCAAAAATGATATGATCGCAAATAGGATTCTTCTTTCACTGGTCCTAATAGACGCTTGTGTCCCGGCCTGAGTCGGCGTCGTTGTCGTCTGTGATGCCAAGCTGCACGGGCTCTGGTTCTGGCGAGCCTGAAACAGACAAATTATGCGTGTTCCACATAAGAACCTTTTTGTTCTGGGGACTCCTGAAATTAAGCCCCCTAAGTCAGCTGTCTGGCGCAAATATGTCATGAGAGGGCCAGTTGCACGCAATGGGTAGCTTTGGATAGCAATGGGGCAACCACAACCATAATAGCCAGACTAAGTAAGCAACTAACCAACACAATCACATTCGAGTTAACTACCCGAAAATAAGCCAGGCAACCGCCAAGAATCGGACTCGAGTCTCGAGGAAGAAATTCCCACGAGTCAACTTCGGAGGAATCAGATACAAGCGCGGCACGCCTAGCCGTCTCCTTCTCCAGCCTCCTCTTCCTCAAGGCCAGACGTACCAGCTCAGGGTTCGGGGGGGGGACTAGAATGTCCTCCACACCAGGCCACCCCGGATCAGTGTCTGTCCAACCGATCTCATCAATCTTGGCTTTCACCATGGCGAAGACATCCTCTGCAGGCTTCATGTTCTGCGCCAAGTCTCTGGCACAAGAGTCAAGCATCGTCTGATCTCCAGCTTGCTGCCGCCATACAAGTATTGATCCGATGGCCTTGCCAAACTCAGGGGGGTACACAGCGCTGGCAGCCATTTTGTCATTGGCCGACCTCACAGAAAGAAACCCCAGATCAGGTTTGTTCTAGGGCCAAAGAAACCATTAAGTTCAAGTTTGAAGAACACATAGCAGCTGGAAGATTTCAGGCGGAGCTTCAAGGGGAACTTTCATCCTAGTGAATTTTCTTTCTTAGACAGCTGCTCACGTCCTGCTGCAAGAAGTGTCGCGGGAGTTTGCAAAACCCCAAAGCGGGCCACAAATGTAGCTGAGATATGAACTACTTTTTGGCGGCAGAATGTCCGGCCTCCAGCGACCATAGCGCGACGTCAGCTTGAGCAGAGGTCGATCTTTCAGCAGCATTGCAAGAAGAGCATGCATCTTCGAGAGAGTCCGCAAACCCGGCCAATCCCCCGATAAGTTTGTAGGTTTCTTAGAAAACCCTCCAAAATGGCCAAGACAAACCCTTACAGCAAGGAAGCCGTGCTCTTCGTAACTCGCTTGACAGTCGGAGATGGATGGCCACTGACACATAAGGCTGGACCCCTTGGCAGATCTGAACACATGCTTTGCCACGTGAAGCGAGTTGAACTCGGACTAATGTACAAACACAACACAAGAAGGAGAATCTTTCTCCCTTTGGACAAGCAACCGGGCGCTCGATAACATGATGAATACCAAGCCAATGCATAATGGGAATCACCAACGAGCCAATGGTCTCAGCCATCCTGTTTCCAACCACCACGGAACGTCTGGAACAGTCGCCATACAAAGCCTGGATGCATGGCGACTCAAAATAAGTAGAAGTTCCATTTTTAAGACAAGCCGACAGGCCTCCCGCAATATCTCCAAAATAAAAAAAGAAGTACTTATACATTTCTCTCAGAAACGATGCCGCGAAGAGTGGTGGCCCTAGCCATCCATCCCCAACTGCTGCACGTTGGAGACAGCAAGACCAATCCACCCGGTCGAACACGCACTAGCATTGCCAAGAGCAGGTGGATTCCGGCAACAGTGTGGATATTGTGTGATTCAGAGATGCCTCATTCTACATTACATTGACAAAAAAAAGCAATGATCTTGGGTCAGACGACGTTGGTCGTATCCCTATCTGCTTATTTTCGAAGATGGGAAAGGTCTTACAATCTGAAGCCTGTCAAAGCGGCAACAATCGAAATCAAGCACCTTGAAGCCCATGGAAATCAGAGCCGCTGAAAGCGTGGCAACGCCAGCGAAGATGTGAAGTACATCTACGACATCTGAACCAAGGACACACTGCCGATTCAAGCGACCTAGGTTCGCAATGTTAGCTTGGGAAATTAACTTCTGACACAATGTCTGTGCATTGAATGACACGAACGGAGAAAAGAAGATGCGACTCGAAAACCCTTGGCAGTACTCTCTGCCTGGAATATCATCCCTGGAATATAATCCCGTGCTGCCTTCGGAAATTCAATGAGCCTCCACCTTGAACTAGAAAAGCTGGCCCGAAAGAACTCCGGCTACATTCAATGCTGGGTCAAGGCACCCGCAGTGGTACTCAACGATGGCACACGCCGGACCAAATGGTCCATCGCATCATCCACCGTCATGGGGGCCGGTGTCTCCACACTCAGGAGATTCAGCATTGCTTACGAAACCAACCTCGAGCCCAAAACCTGCCTCTTTACTCAAGCAATTGACACAGGCCTGAAACAACATGAGCAGAACGATTAAGGCTCTTAGTATGGAACATGGGCCAGAATGGGAATCCACCCCTTAGATCAACCCTAAACCCTAAACCCCAAACCCCAAACCCCAAACCCCAAACCCCAAACCCTAAACCCTAAACCTTAAACCCTAAACGTGGACCGTATTTGAACCAGAGTGGCGTCTGTCCCTGGCTTGACACTGGGAGGTCGCGGTGGGACGCGTGGAAGCATGAGAGCGAGAGAGCGAGAGAGAGAGAGAGAGAGAGAGAGAGAAAAACAAAAAAAATATTTAAAGAGAGAGAAAGAGAGCGAGCATGTGCAAGTGAGAGCTGGAGAAAGGGAAGGACATTTGCGTTGTGTATGTTGAACTGCCGAAAGGTTGGGCTCAGCTTCTTCGGTTGCCGTTCCTTGCTAAACAATTCCGAAGCCATCCATGGCAATGAAGTCATTCACGCTGCTGCTGTTCTTTGCCTGCCCCGCTGCCAGTGTGGGCGTGGGCCGCAGCAACTTGGATTGCAAGGTTTCAGGTTTGGAGGGTTTGGGGTGTTTAGCAGGGTTAAGGGTTAGTAAGGCTTAGAGGGTTCAGGAATTTAGGATTCAGGTCGTACTCCGGCTTATAGGGCTTAGGAGGTTAAGGGTTCAGGAGCTCAGGAGACAATATTTGCACAAGCAAGTGTCATCCCCACCCCCCTCCCATCCTGTCTTGCTTGTTGCCGGTTTTATTGTTTGTTCTTCCGGGTTGCCTCGACTAAGCCCTAGAAGCCCTAGGCCCTAACCCGAAAACACTAAACCCTAAACCCTAAACTCTAAACTCTAAACCCTAAACCCCAAACCCTGAACCCTGAACCCTAAACCCTAAACTCTAAAGCCTAAACCCTAAACCCTAAACCCCAAACCCTGAACCCTGAACCCTAAACCCTAAACCCTAAACCCTAAACCCTAAACCCTAAACCCTAAACCCTAAACCCTAAACCCTGACCTTCAAGGCAAGCAGGGGGCGATGACGGAAGGTGGCCCCAGCCCTTGGCTGTCTCTTCTGGCGAAGAGCTGGGCCTTGCCAGGCGAGTCGCAGGAGCTTCGGGTTTGGGGTCTGGGGTTTAGGGTTTAGGGTTTAGGGTTTAGGGTTAGGATTTAGTGCGCAGGGTTCTAGGTGCTTGGGCTCTCGGGGGCCCTGTAGAGGGGTCCTCGAAACCCTAAAACCCAACCCCAAGGGGGCATGGCCTGTTTCCCTTAAGGTCCACTGCAAGCCCAAACCAAGCTCAATGATCCCGTTTAGGGTTGAGGGTTTTAGGGGTTTTGATAGGTTCACATTTATAAGCCGGGGGTGAATACCGGAAAGTTTTTCGGCCAAAATTTGGCCCAAAAAGTTTGTTTCGTGAACGATTTCCATCATGTTGGGTTGTTTGGAGCCTGAAGCCAAAAGGGGGGGGGGGGGTTATACCGGAAAGTCTTCTGGGAGAACTTCCCAAACCTTAAACCCTAAACCCTAAAACCCTAAAACCCTAACACCCTAAAACCCTAAAACCCTAAACCCTAAACCCTAAACCCTAAACCCTAAACCCTAAACCCTAAACCCTAAACCCTACACCCTAAACCCTAAACCCTAGACCCTAGACCCTAAACCCGAACCCTAAACCCTAAACCTGTTGGAAACTTCTTTCAATCGGGGCAGAGACCGTAAAGCTCCAGACCCAGAAACCTTTATCTGCAGAGCCAGCCTCAGCATGAATTCCTTACTAAAAGCCGGTTTAGGGTTTAGGGTCTAGGGTTTAAGGTTTAGGGTTTAGGGTGTAGGGTTGAGGTCAACGCACGGCTCTCCGTCGAATGAGAAGGTCTCATGGCTTTCCTTAAAGCAGAAGAGGCCCCCCCCCCCCCCCCCCCAAATGTTGTTATTCCCCCCCGGTCCGTTTTTTTTGGCCCAGGACCGGAACAAAAAATCCCGGAAGGGGGGTGGGGGGGTGGGGGGGTTATTAATGCGACCCCAACATTAGGGTTTAGGATCGGCCCAGGTTGAAGGTTTTAAGGAGCGTTGTAACTCTGCGACCCTGCAGCCAACAACCCCCCGAGGTGGTAATTCTTCAGGCTCTAAGGGCCCTGCATGGCTTGGGAACCCCCAAACCTTGCCAAGATACAAAACCTTTAGGGTTTAGGGCTTTGGGTTTTCCACCCTAAGCACCATAACGTACAGACACACGAGCCCTAAGCTTAAAGCTAGCATGCCCGTATGCATTTTGTTTCGGTTGGGGTCCGTCCTGTTGGAGGCTTACTAAACCAACAAAAAGGGATATATACCCTAAGCCCTTTAGGGTTAGTTTGGGTTTGTAGCGTTTCGGGTTGAGGGGTTTAGGGGTTGAGGGGTTTAGCGCTTAGGGGTTTGTAATCTAGGATGCCCACTGGTACGTTCCTGTTTTAGTGATTAACCGTCTTGCGCAGCATC